CATACTAGTTTCAAATATTCTTTAGGGTTTTTTTTATAAGCACACAAATTATTGATTTAACATACCCAGTTATTTTTAATCTATTTATTGAGGCAAGTAACTCAGCCACCGCTATTAACAATTTTTCATTAGGCTAGTTCAAAATTATATATCTATCTGAAATAAACATTTTTCAGCTTTTTAAGTCATATTTTATTTCATAAATGTTCTTTACTTCATCCTGGCATTCCCCTCAATTCAACTGGTGAGAATTTGGATACTCTACAATAAATAGGTCTTTGAAACATATTTCCACCTTAAATTCTAGCACATTCTGCTGTCTAGTAAAAAAAACTAGAAAGTCCCTTTATGCTCTAAGTCCTCTAAAGTAAAGCATAAATGTTTGCTCTAATTTGTTTATACCCCCAGAGATCAGTGAAATTTATCTGTAAAACTCAGATATTCTTATAGAAAATATCAAAGAATAATTATATCTCAATAAAATGCTTCCAACAAACTCTTTCTCTTTGAACTAACAGCATAAATAGAGTAAGCTGGGTTTCATTTACTATTAAAATAACCAACTTGACTGTTGTCCTTGTGATTTCTGCACACCACATTCCACAAGTAATAATCATTCCCTCAACAAACAATTGTCACACCCCTACTGTGGGTCTAATACAGGCACCAGGGTTACCCAAGAAATCAAAGCCATATATGGTCTCTGCCTTCAGAGAATTGAGGTTCTGGAGAGGAAACAAGATGGTAATCAAATAGTCATATGGATAAGTATATAATTATAAACTCTAACAATTTATGTAGAAGTTCACAGGCAGTGCTATGAGAGCAAAGAACAGAGGACCAGATTAATCTGCAGAGAAAGGACGACCTGAGCTACTAGTTAATTAAGTTAAGGAGGTAAGAGGGTTCCCAAGAACACTTGGCAAAAAAACCAAAAATGATACATGCAAAGGCCCTGGGGTGGAATGCACTTTCAGCCAGTGAAGCTAAAGCACAGGGGAGAACGGCAAAGATGAGGCTAAAGAGANAAAAAATGATGACATTGCATAATGCTGAATATACTCATTATCCTGATTTGAGCACCACATATTGCACACAGGTATTGATATTCAACACAGTACCCCACAGATATGTACAATCAAATAGGAATATTGTGAGTTCAGTTTTAGAAAGGAGTTAGAAACGCCTTGAAGCATCCAGGTGGAGGTATCTCCTTAGCTGGCCATTTGATAGATGGACGTGGATACAAAACAATGTCTCGTATGGAAATAAAAATGGAGTCACCCACATGGGCATGGGTGAGATTGCCAGGGAAAAATAAGGTATAAAACCAGAAGAGAAGGCCCTAAGACAGCCCCGAGGACGCCCTCACAGAGGGGGCTATGCCAGAGGAGAAGCAGACAGAGAGGGAGCAGGAGGAAAGCCAGCTGACCAGGGGCCCAGACGCCAGCGAAGACAGTGATTCAGGAAACAGGCTGAGAGGTCGACAAAGATCTGAGAAATTACAGGCATCTACAGACACAGGACCAAAACCACATATGTCACTTCGTGAAACGGCTGATGAGAATTAGTCTACAGCTACAGGTACACCTTGTTAAAGTTGTCCTCACCAGCAGCAGGAAGATATTTAAGTTTTTAAAAAGCTAAGTTATCAGGCTGAGCCCCTTCTTTTTACAGATGAAGACGTGTTACGGAGCAGGAGGGACTCGACCCTGGCCTCCTAATGAACAGGTAA